AGAAAGGCTTCTTTGTCGGGGCATCGCGTCCAGACTCCCCCGATCTGCCGACAAACAGCTGATCGGCAGATCGGGGCAGCCATTTAAATTTAAATGAAGCCGCGATTATTTTAATCGCGGCTTCATTTCCCTCTTCTGATGTGGCTAATCTACATGCCTCCGTCGACGGAGGCATGGAGTCTGGACACAGCCCTTTTGATTTTAGTGGACTGACTCCTTCCTGGTTTATGGGAGCCTCTTAACTTACTGAGCAGAATTGCCAATGGTTCCTTTATGGAATGGATGCCTCCAGCTACAGGTCCCATGCCTCCCCTTGTGGGTTAAGATATGTCTACCCAGCAGCCAATCTGGGCACTAGACCCAACCATCTAGGTCAGGGTCCGGGTGAGGGAGAGATGGAGACCAGAGGAACAAAAACAGATAGAGTGAGAAACTGGAGGAAAAGAGAAGAGAATAAGCAATGGAAGATCCAGAGCAGAAAATGGAGATGGGAAATAGATGGAAAGATGGCGGGCAGGAGGATGGAGAAAGAGTGATATGTGGGTGTTCAAGTCCCGGGGGAAGAAATAAGAGGCTTTTAAAAGAATTAGGTAACTTTGACCTCTATGTGAGCTCCCCACCACAAAGTCAGAAGCCTAGGTGAGGTCTATAGCAGTGATATGTACCTATGGCACTGTCCCACTCCAAAACATGAGAAAATGAAATCAGAATAATTATCTTCCTCCCAAATCTATACATAGTTCACAGCAGTAAACATAAAGGGATTGCTCCGCCTGCTAATGGCTCCCCCAGGGGCAGCTGCACTTGATGTCCTACACTGGATAGTCCCCATGTGAAAATTCCTGCGGGGGTGCCAATGCTACAGCCCTGCTTTAGCAGGCACAGCAGAGCCTTGGTACTGAAGCACTTTAAATATAAGCTCACAGCTAACTTGAACCAGGAAAGCCCTATCAATAATTCTGATCTAGAGCCCTGATACAGTAAACACAGCAGCAGTGAGCCAGACAGCTGGAGTAGCAAGTCCGTAGGCAGTGAAAGATGAGCCAGCTGCAGTGTGAGCTGAGCACTTGGGCAGCCACCCAAAAGAGATTCAGGTACCCCTCCCCCCAGCTGAATAACAGAGCACCAACAGCTGGCAGCATGTGTTTCTACATCTGCACATGCCTTAGTGCACATAACAAAATGTATTCCACTCACAAATGGAAAAAATATTAGAGGGAACACTGGCCAGCAAGTCTGGGCATAATATGAAAAAGATCTACTCCTCTGACATTTAGAAACTTTGATTGGCAGAAGTTCCCATCCCAACATTGCACCTCCATTCCTTTGTGTAGTAGCTTGTAATCTTCACTGCAGTTCTAGCCATAATTGCACTCTTTCAGCTTAGAGAGTTTATATTCCACATACTGCTTGGTCTGGGCAGCTCTTTTGGGTCACAAAGAGCTTAAAAAACCTACAATGTCAGAGACCACTGGCTCCGAAATCAGGGACACTAAGCATCTGATAAGATCTGCAAGACCAAGGTGTCAGCCTCTGACATTTCAGATGATCCTAGACAATAAACATGATCTACAGGCTACAGAGCATCCAACTTAGTGAGTCTTTTTTCCTACAGGACTTAGAAGCACCAGTATGCCTCAGGAATTTGCTACCATTTGGTGAGCTCTATTAGGTTAGAAAACAAACATGGCAATCAATAGGAGCAAATTAACCTACCAAACATTCTAAAAGCAGTCGAAGGAACTAGTGTGCTTTGAAAACAATAGAAAAAAAACCACATCTATACTTGCACGGAAATCAGTGCTGTGGCGGTTGATTTTTTGGTATTTGCTTTAGTGGGTCTAATAAAGACCTGCTAAATCAAATACTGAGGGTGTCCCCATTGACCGCTGTATTCCTCCTTTGGTGCTATTGCAAGGAGTGAGGAAAGTCAACAAAAGCATTTCTCCCTTTGACTTCCTGCTGCGAGAATGGCACCAAAGTTTGGCTTAAGATACATCAATTCCAGCTATGTTATTTACATAGCTGGGATTGTGTACCTTAGGCCAACCTTACCCTGTAGTAGAAATCTGGCCTAAATGAGGTTTGCATTTTCTGTGTCAAAACCGGAGCTAGTAAAAAAAGGAGAGTTGGAGTGGGGTGATGGAGAACAGGGATCATTCAATTAAAAGCTCACCTCCACATTATTTTGAGAACTCCCCGGGCTACATCAGATCAAATTTTTAGAAGAAAGGAAGGCTAGTTGTTTCCTACCCCTGGCACCAGATTCTCAAAGGTGTCCATTGGAACACTATGACTAGAGTTCAGTATTTAGGTCCTACACTCAATGATACTTAGGTACCTGGCTCTCACAGCAATCAACAGAAGTTAGGTGCCTAAATATCTTTGAGGAGCAGGACCCTATTGTGTGGAGTACTATTGATATTCTGGCCACTTCTGCCCAATGGAAGTGGAGAACTTTTGAAAATTTGATGCTAATTGTGTGTGTTGAGCTATTTTGAAAATTCTGGCCATGAGAAGGAAAAGAGTTTTTTTTTTCCACAGCATGTATATGTGTTGTGATCATTTACCTCAGCTTATATTACTGGCCCCCTCTGTGGGAGAGAAACGGGAAGGAGTCTGGATGAAGTCCACATGGTTTTGATCACTAAGGAAACTCTTTTCTTCAAGAACACAGATTTTTGTCCTCAGTTCATAGCTGAGTCTGGAAGGAGGAAATACACCATTAAAAATAAAATCAAACAGAAGCAAAAAGCAGCTCAAAGTGTACTTTAAATGGGGACTACCTTAACTGGGAAAACCTTTGGAACTAAAGCGCTGTATAGAAAGTGACTTTCTTTTTGCTTATTGCAAGTGAATATGGAGTTTTAAAGTTCCAGTTCTCAACTCCAAATTTTACCCATTTAAAGAAACAGATGTGTAAGCAGGATCTGAAGGAATGCCCTCATATAGCTGGATGGAATGGGAAAGAAACCCTGGGTGTGTACAAACAGTTTGCTCCTGCTTTGTTAGATTTGTTAGTAGACAAAAGGACATTTTTCTCATTGTAATCAACTTAATTTGTGACCCAGCAACAGCTGTTTGTATTAAATGCAGGGATAGCTAAAATATGGTTACTATTGTTTGTAAGTTTGTGAGAATACAGAAAAGTAGGACTGTGCTAAATGAAAAGGGCTCACAGTTAGCAGACGGAATCTTGCTAAGCAGGGGCTCGACTATGAAAAGGATGAGGGAACGTTATTCTGGTTAGGAGACTAGATCCCCTCCCCTATGTGGACTGGTTTGACCTGTTCTCTCCACTGTTCAAATAACAGAGCTAAATAGGCATCAGTAGATGTCTCTTTTTTTTGTTAATGGTGTTGGCGTTGTGTTTTTTCTACCCTGCTTGCTAAGAGTTCAAATCACTGGGGGCTAAACTTATTTGAGACTAATGGCCAGACGTCACATCCTAAAGTGGATGGCAGCACATGGTGACTAAAAGCCAATGAGGTGGTAGCAAAAAGATGTAACCAGTGGCCAGCAGAGCAGTGGCAGCATGACAATCAGCCAGCAGGGAAATGGCAACGAGGTACAATGAGTGGTCAGCAGAGCAGTGGCAGAAATAAGATGAATGGCCAGCAGGGCGGCAGCCAAATGCAGCGAGCAGGCGAATAGCGAGTAACCACCGAAATAACATGCTTCCCTTACTCAGAATGAAAGGTGAACTGTGCAAAGGCACCTCTGATTTCTGGGTCTGTTCTAATAAAAGGCAGCGACTATGAGTGGGGTGCAAAGAAGTGTTGGGCATGTGAAGGGAACATTTAGATTGCTGAAGTTAAGAACTTTAAAATAAAAAGATGCTGCTTGGGGTGGGACTTTTACTTTTACGCATGGTTGATGATTATGAACCCTAGTTTGTGGCATTTTCCCAAATTAATGCCAAGTTACTTCCCTCCCTTTTATTAAAAGTCTCTTTTCTACACTCAGACTCTGTGCTTGCACGTGGGGAAGCATTGCCTCCCAGAGACACTCAGTGATGGTGTGTAAATTTCCCAGGTTACTGGGTGAGGGCTTGAGACAGTTTGTATTGTATGAATGAAAAATATTGAATCTGGTCCTGGCTGCTGCTGGCTCCACCTGGCAGAAAAGTTACGTTTTGTCTTAACTAGGAAAATGTTCAGTCTTATAACACCCTATTGAAAGTTGCTCCCTTTTTGTTTATTGCTAGCGAACATGGGGATTTAAAGTTCCAGTTCTCAGCTCCAAATTTTACCTATTTAAATAAACAAATGCATAAAACTTCCAGAAGCTATTAAATTAAAATATATTTAAAGAACCCTATTCTTTCTTTACCCTATAATCAACCCCTATGTGTTCCACAGCCATAGGACAAGCCGGCATATTTTGAGATGTCCCATTAGGATAATGCTTGATAACAGAACAGGGTTGTATTATTCTTTGAGACTCCATGGTTTTGCCTATCCATATCTGTTTGTGTGGAACTATTTCCCTCTGCCTCTTCCGTGCTATCTACTTCTGTTATATCTGATAAGTGTTTGAAATGAACCAGGACTCCCAAAGCCCTCTCCATCCATCTCTAAAAATAAAAACACGCTTCTCCTGAGCTTGGTTGGCTAATTTAATATTTGCTGTTTTTTTGTGTCAACAAGCTGTTAGTATTTTACTTATGTTTCACTAAATTATTTCTTATTATTCGTCTTATGCCTATTTATATGTGTTTTTGTGCATAGGCGCCCTGCTGACCAGGCCCAGATGGTAGTGTTTTGCCAGGCCTATGAAACAATTTGCCACACCATCCCTAACTTCAGCCTACAAACAGAATTACTGATTCCTTTAATGTGAATGAACAACACAATCTCAGTTGGTCAGTTGCCAGATAACTCAGGTCTTTGTCTCCATGACAACCAGAACCAGCCCTGTTTTGGGGCTGGCTTTTGCTGGTTTGTCGGTGAACAAAGTTTGCTCCAGTTTTTGTTTTTGTAAACCACACTAGAGTGACTCCTTGAGGGTATGTCTACACTGCACCACTATTTCGCGATACTAGAGTATCTGGAAATAGCTATCTCACATCTTCACAGCAAGCCCATTATTTCGGGCTCACTATTCTGATGTCCCTGTAAATCTCATTCTATGAGGAGTAAAACAAACAAAAAAGAAGTTTTTCTTTACTCAGTGCACAGTCAACCTATGGAACGCCTGTCAGAGGAGGCAGTGGAGGCTAGAACTTTAACAGGGTTCAAAAACGAACTAGATAGATTCATGGAGGTTAGGTACATCAAAGGCTATTAGCCAGGATGGGTAGGAATGGTGACCCTGGCCTCTGGTTCTCTGGAAGTGGGAGATGGGAGGGATCAAGTGAGGATTACTTGTTATGAGCCCTCCCTCAGGGGCATCTGGTATCCTGTCGGCAGACAGGACACTGGACTAGATGGACCTTTGGTCTGACCCAGTATGGCCGGTCTTATGTTCTTAAGGTACATTTCAAAATAGCACTTTATTTCGAAATTTGGACAGCGCCAAATGACGAAATAGGTTATTTCGAAATAGCATCGAAATAAGATGCGCAATTTGTGTATCTTATTTCAAGTTACGGTACAGTGTAGATGCACCCTGACAGAGCTGCAAAGCAACTCAACTTGTGGAACTGGCAGCAGACTGAGTGAACACATGTGAACCTCAGAGGCCACTCCCAGCTCTAGCAGTTGCCATCTGTGCTCCAGGAATCCCTTCACGTAAAAATGTAGAAACCCAGGGCTGCAGTGTGTGCTGGGCTTAGCAGGATGCTGTACTCCTGAGGCACTGCTGGGGACTGGGGGAGGAGCTGAGGAAACAGAAGCTCTGCTCTGCCTGATAACCCAGGGGTTGCTCTAACTTTACACTGCCTGTAACACTCTCTATGGAACTGTCCCATAACCCAGGACAGATGCAGTGTAGAGCACTCTATCCATAACTCCTCCAACCTGCCTCTGGGCCACTACACACCAGCCATCAGGCAGCTCTTCTGCCTTCCAGCCACCTGGGGAACCCCTCCTTGCAGCAGGGGAATTACTGAGGTGTGGCAGGGGTGGGGAAAAAGTGACCAGGAATTTTTGACAAGTTTAGGTACTCATCTTGAGAAACTTTAAAAGAGGGAGCAGCCCTTTGTGAAAATCAGGTGGCTCATGTTAAAATAAGATGTCTTCTATTAGGCACCCCAAAATGGAGGCACCCAATATCACTAGTAACTTCTGAAAATGTAAACCATTCTCCTCCAATATAAATAATGGACAAGAGATTGGTCATACTAGGTCAGACCAATGGTCTATCCAGACCTGTATCCTGCCTTTTCTCACTGGTTAGTGCCAAATGCTTCAAAATGGGGATGAACAAAATGAGGGAAAATGATCCATCCCTTGTCAAGCAGTTCCAGCTTCTGGAAGTTGGAGATTTGTAGACACTCAGAGCACAGAATGGTTTGCCTGGGCATCATGGACCCATCTTTCATGTAAATATGCTTTTGTCTGAGGGTATGTCTACAGTGCATTCCTCTTTCCAGAGAGGAATGAAAATGCAGATGAGTGAAATTGCAAATGAAGCGCGGATTTGAATTTCCCACGCTTCATTTGCATAGTCATCTCTGGCTGCTATTTCAAAATATCCTATTTCGAGATAAAAAACGCTGTGTAGACACGGTTATTTCAAAAGAAACCCCTTCTTTCAAAATAACCATTAAACGTCATTTTTTTAAGGAGTAAGGGGTCATTTCAAAAGAAGGGGTTTCTTTGGAAATAACCGCATCTACATGGCGTTTTTTTATCTCAAAATAAGGTATTTTGAAATAGCGGCCGGACACGATTATGCAAACGAAGCATGGGAAATTCAAATCCATGCTTCATTTGCAATTTTGCTCTGCTTTCGAGAGGAATGCAGTGTAGACATACCCTTAGATCCCAAGAGCATATTTATTTAGCATGCACAAATTTAAGATGTACAGATCTGCTGAGGGCATTCAGAAACAGAAGTGGCTGCAATGCATATGAGATTGGTGGGAAGCTTGCAGAAGGTGGTCTCCTAAACCCCACTGCAGCTGTCTACACCTGATTTGTGCCTCCTTCTCTTCCCTGCATGGCAGAAAGCAGTATCCAACAGAACAGCTGTAGAAAAAGTGAGTATCCCCATCCCATTACTGCCAATATCAAGCATTTGAATCAAGCAACCCTATTTGCAATAGAGTTAATTTGGATGGGATGCAAATTTTGAGTACTGTATTCATTTAGGTTGTATTATTGTGCTTAGAAAATTAAACAACAGTGCTAAGCTAAAATCCATACTTCCTGGAGAGCAGGCCCTCAAATGTTATGTGGCTCCACTGCTTAGTTGTATAGATTCAGCTGACCGGGAGGCTGGAAAACTTCTCAAATGTCTTATGCTATGTGACTTCTGGCAAGAAATTATGCAACAAAGTCAAGCTGAAACTGCAAAATTCAACCTACAAGTGCATGCTATTATATTTTACAGGAAAAACCTGAAGTCCTTCTTGCAACCAAAGGAGAACAGATCCAAAAATGCAATGGCAACATCAAATAGTTTTGTTTCAATGGCCAAACACCAAACTAGCAGAACTTCTAGTGGTTCTGGGTTTCTATGAAAAGACTGAAGGGTCTAGCAGCACATTGGCTTCTGCTGAATGGAATTGGTTTTGTTCAAAGGTAACTGTCCATTAGATTACCAGATACAGACTATAAAACTCACAACTCTAATTAATATTTTTCAGTTTAAGTTTTTTCTCCCACTCAGTATTGCTCATAATTTCCCTCAGCATTGGGAAATTAGCCCTTTTGAATCACCTTACATGATTGATTGGGACTGTTCTCTGTTTGCTTATATTGAATAATCAGGTCAAGATCACTGGATCCTAGGCAACCATTAACTTCCAATCCAGCCATTAATTCATTTTTATCCATCATCATAAATTCCAAATTAGTGTTACCTCATATTCAGAGCATGTCTGTTATTTCCTAACAAATTATTAATGGAAGATGTTAGAAAGCTTTAGTCACTTTTTAAAAATTAAGTGATGGAGTAGAATAAATCTGCCTTCTGAATATATCAAATAAAAAGCCAGGGATAGCATGCTGGATCATTTCTTTACTAATGAATTTTAAATGTGTCATTCTTAATAATGTCTGAATTGGAGAGGATGCTCTGCTCCAGCATTTTTGCTGAAGTCTCAGTTTTTATTCATATATAAACTGGGCATTTAGCCAAGCCCATAAATATCAGAGATTAAGCCAACTAATTGACTATATGGTGGACCAAACACACTCTGGTAGCTGGCTGGACTAATAGCTATTTAATAACTAATTCTACAAAAATATTTTTATTGTACAAAATGAATTCACCAACTGATTTGAATTGAAATGTATTCCCTCTTATTATTACACTATAACTATACAATTCCTAACACATTATGTCTGTATATCGTTTTGAGATCCTGATGTCATTGGCTGTCTACTTTTGAGATTATAGCACCAATGATGGAGTCACAGAACTTTAAGCATGGAAAAGTTGCCTGCAATGGAGACTAATGCAGATAAACAGAATTTTTTCCATGCAGATTTCAAGGTCCAGAAGCAGACACTCAGGATGCCAACGTTGTATTGCTCCCCCAAAGATAAGTCACTTGATCTGTCTCTTTTATTCATCCTCCCACCATAGAAACCACCTGGCTTCTTCATCTTCTACTTCATAATCTGGGTGGTAGGTAAGGTTATCTGAGGAACAGGCCAAAACAGAGACAGATGTATGTTTAATGAAAAGTAAAGGTTTCTACTTTCCTAATAAAGCCCACAAGCATCTAATAATAACTGATGATAACAACAACCGTACTTAGCATTTATCTTAGAATCATAGAAATGCAGGGCTGGAAGAGAGCTGAAGAGTGTTAGTCCAGCCTCCTTTTCTGAAGCAGGATCAAATATATCTAGATCTGCCAGGTTTTATCTAATTTATTCCTAAAAACCGCTAGTGAAAGGGATTTTACAACCTCCCTTGGAAGACTAGTCAAGCACTTAACTATCCTTATATAATTAAAAAGTTTTCCATAGAATCTACCCTAAATCTACCTTATTCACTACTGAAGCTCATTACTTCTTATCCTTTCAGAGGGCATGCAGAGGAATTGATCACCCTCTTCTTTATAATAGCCCTTAACTCAGTTGAAGACTTATCAGGTTGCCTAATTGTCTTACTTTCCCCAGACTAAACATGCCCAATTTTTTTAAACCTTTCTTTGTAGGTTTAGAAAACCAGACTTTTTTTCCTTCTTCATTTTTGTTGCTCTCTTCTGACATCTTTTGTAAAATGTAGTGCCCAGAACTGGATACAGTACTCCAGGTGAAGCCTCACTAGTGCTGAGCAGAGTGAGACAATTACTTCCTGGTTTTGCATAAACACTTCTATTAATAAACTCCAGAATTAGATTGGCCATTTTTGCAACTGTATTACACTGTTGACTTGTATTGTATTTATGATCTGCTATAATCCCTCAATTGTTTTCAGTAGTATGACTACCTAATCAATTATTTCTCATGTGGTAGCTGTGAATTTGATTTTTCCTTCCTAAACAAAGTACTTTGCACTTGTGTCTATTGAATGTCATCTGGTGGATATGTTCCAGACTTAGGTGTCACAATAAGGATGTGGAGGTAGGTCACCAAAATGTGTCATTTCCTTAGGCAAAATTACCAGCCCAATCTGCCACACAATAGTTTAAGGGCAATACATAAAGTATACCTTCGATTTGAAACTGCAGGGGGAATTGAGGCAGCATGCCACTGCCTGCTTTGGAGTTTGGCCAGGATACGGAACAGTGCTCATGGAAGTTTTCTTAACAAAATACGGTAGGGCTTCAGTTTTCCATACCATGTTGTGAGCCCATATTTAAACAAATAAATGAAGGAAGGATAGTCCTGTGGTTAAGGCCCTGGACCAAGTCTCTGGAGAATTGGAGTCAGTTCAAACATCTGTCATAGATTTCCTCTATGACCTTGGCAGGTCACTCAATATTGCCTGGCTTTTATTCAGCAAAGTACTTCAGCACATGCTTAACCTTAAGCATCTGAATAGCCCAATTATATTCAGCGGGGAGAGAATAAAATTATATCTATTTGCATGAGAACTATTTTGAAAACGATATTGTCTTTCCTGTGGAAAAATAATTTTTCTCCATTTTTTATGGATTACGCTAGGTTTTTTAAACTTGCAAGTGCTGAACTGAAAGCCAGATATTTGCAGCCAAAACCTAAAAAAAGTCATCTAAAAAAAGTTTGGTTTAAAACTTTAAAAAAAATACTTCTGTAGTGCCTCTTGGGAATTGTTATACTGGTGCCTCATGTTACTCTGCTACATTATGGACAACTCCCTGGCCTAGTAGACTGCATTATAGGAGTCTCTGCCTATGGGACATCATAGGAGAAGTAGTCCACTTGGGACACGTGTCAGCTGAACTATAACTCTTCTGAGGCATGGTAGCTTCATTTCCAAATGGAAATTTGGGGGAGGATTCAGTCTTAGTTTTATTCAGAGAAAGGCTGACGTTTTCTGTAGAAAGCCAATACTTTTGCAAAATACGTATGTAACCCCCTTTTTCCTCTCTGGGTTACTCAGGGCGCCTGATGGTCTTGACATAAAAGGAGATCCTGAGCACCCCAGTGGTGATGTTGTTTGGTTGGGGAAAACCTATCCACCCTCTTGCTGCAGTCCCTTGCTTATGAAGAATGTAAAATGGTTGTGCCTCCACCTGGCTGGCCTTGTACACACTTACTGGTGTGCCTTGAGAACCTCCAGGAATATACTAATTCCAGGTATAATCTGGATCTAATTCCAGAACAACTACAAATCATATACATCTAATAGATTACATTAAAATAAACAATCTTTACTTAACTTAAACAGGGTTTAACAGATTAACAATGAATAGCATTAACAAAGTGCACAACCATAATTGGAACATATATATCTGGCATTTACACTACCAATATTGATCCCACCCCAGAGTGTGCATACCCCTGGACTCAGAGTCCCAGACACTTGCTTGTGTGGGCGCACTTGAAGAACTGCAGCTGTAGAGGAGATTCTCTGTAGAAAGTGTGTATGAGGATCCAAGCTAGGCAGCAGCTCTGTCCCAGGCACCACTTCTCCCAAAGGCCCAATTACTTACAGCCTCATGCTGTGCCTATCAGAAGCAGCCTGCTAGATCCCAGTTCCAAAAGCCTCTAGTCCCAGTCTGTAGCTGCACTCCAACAGCCCCTGAACTGGATCAAACTCCTCCACAGCAGCCTGGCTCCCCTTCTGTTCCAAAATCCAAGGGCAGAGTCCCAGACTGCTAAGCCTCTCCTCTCACCCACGTGGAGAGAGCCTTGATCTCCCACACAAGAGTAACTTCCTTCCTGATTTTCCCAAGGGTTCATGGGAATTGTAGTATGTGAGTTTGGACTGCAGACCACAGGATCTTTCCAGAAAATAAGTAGAGGCACCTTTAGTAAAGGGACTACACATATATTGGTGGGTTTTATTGTTTTCTGTTTGTTTGTTTACCCTCCCAAAACACACACAGCCTACATTACTCCCATGATGCCAACTTGGGTCACCTGCTTTTCCAACAAGCACTGTCACAACATCTGTAATGTTGCCCCTCCTGAGTGGGAAAGGCTCCAAACCAAAATCCAAAGCCATCTCCTTGCCCGCCTTCAAATCCTTCTCAGAGAGCGCAAAGGGAACTACCACCTGATAAGAGCTGAGTCACTAGTGAGTGCTGTCTGTTGCTACTGAATAGCTAAGGTCTTGTCTATACATTAAAATTGTACCCCAGTGAGCTGACTCAATATATGCTGCCTTCTGGTATAAAGGTGCTTTGGCTGATATAACTTATTCCAATTAAGACACTTTTATACTGGTAAAACTGCATCCATACTGGGTTGTACCATAGTAACTGCTTTGGTGTGGGTAAAAAAAATTAGACCTCCACCCCCATCCCTATTCCACTCCCTGGCAACTCCCTCCTGCATAGAGACCCTCATTTTGGCCTCACCCCAGAGTTTTGGGGGGTGGGGAGACTCACAAAATCTACTAAACCTGAGACCTCAGAAGAGTTAATCTGGCCTGAGAGAAGACCTGAAGCTTGGTCCTCACTGCCTCTTCTCCTCTCCCTCCTCTCCATAAAGCTGAAGCACCAGGGGAGTCAGGTATCTCAGCTGGGGGCTACATCAGCGAGGATTCAGTTTTTGTTGTTTTTTTTTGGGATGGGGGAGGTTGCTTCTCACTTGTGTGGCCCCTGACTGATTTTTCTGTAGATCAGTGGCCCCCAACCAAATAATGGTGCCCTATGATAATTTGCAGATTAACCACAGATTTCTGTAGGACAGCTACTTTTTACTTCTGGATACTCGAGTACAATTAAGATGCAGTATTTTTGTACTTTGTCTCAAGTAATTTTCCAGAAGGATACTTTAACTTTTATTTAATTACATTTTTTCAGAGTGGCAGGTCTCAAGTAACTTTTTTGGGTACTTTTTCCACGACTGCTGCCTATATACTTTGCCTACAAGCCCGGAAAGTCTTTCTGCTTCCTTGTGGCTTGTCTTTCAAATCTGTAAGCAATTTGCGGGCAAGTATTGTCCTGTATTATGCATTTGTACAGCTCAGAGCACAATGGGATCCAACCTGGAAATGATCATTAGGCATTATTACCATAGAAATGTTATAAATAAACAACAACAGCGATGGTTACAAATATCTAATGAGTTAGTGCTTCCTGTTGTGAATTTTTCATTTCCTAATCAGAACTCATCTACCAGGATTTTGAACTGCCCATACCCATGCTTTCAAGTGCTTCTTCCAAAGTCACAATTTACTGTTTGAAGTGTCTGATGTAATGCTATGTAATCCTTCCCAGGGCACTTTGCAAAAGAAGCTTTCAACTCAGTGGAAAATGCATCTCTGTAAAATAAAATAAAAACCACTTGTAGACTGAAATGGACTAGCAGTCAATAGCACTCTCTTATGTTATAGAACAAGGGCCAGACCCTGCATCATTAAAGGGAACGTGGTATCAAACCTCAGGTTCTATGTTGGACTTTCTTTGTGTTATAAAAGGTTGGTGATCAGGAGGAGGTCAAACCATAAAGATTAAGACACATTTTACAATATTATTGAATCTTTTGCTCTCTTTCTCTGGTGGTTATAGACATTAGAGAGCCTACATGTAGGTAACTAATAAGTCTTTCACCTGGTAGCAATCACTATTCTGCATTATGCAGCCATTTCCCAATATCATATATAAGCAGATGGGGCCTTTTTTTCCCCAAGAGTTCTTATTTATCCATGTTCCTGAATGCAAATTATCATTGTGATCTTAAACCACTTTTATTAGAATCTGTCTTCAATCAGGAGAGGAGTTTTGTCATGGAGTAAACAAACTGGTGGGTAAAATGAGCCACTTTAGAGAATAAAATAAACAAACAGGAATTTCCTCAATGCTCCGCTTAATCTTCCTCTTTTTTCCTGATTAGGCTATGTCTACACTTCGGAGTTTTTTCCAGGCTATCACTGGAAAAACTCCGCCGCGTCCAGGGAACCCGTCTGCCCTTCCAAATTTTTTTCAGAAGCCCTGTATTCCTCATTTTATGAGGAATAAAGGCTGTTCTGAAAGAGGAGGGTTTTCTGACATTTGGCCCCGTGTAGACAGGCCAAATGTCAGAAAAGGCTCTTCTGAAAAAAGAATCAGAAAAAGGTACGCAAATTGCAGTTTGGAATTTGCGTAATTTTTTCCGAAAGAACCCCACAGTGTAGACATTGCCTCAAATAAAATTTGCCATAATCTTGTTCTTATAAGCACTCTCAGTAAAGTATATAGGTATTCATTTTAAATAAAAAAATATGAAGAATCCCTTCAAGAAGATATTTAGCAACTCATGGTAAGAACACTAATAATTAGCAAAAACAGTGGGAAGTTTCACCATTTCACTTTCGTACTTCCTATTAATATGAGTTATCAAACTAAATTTAAAAAGCCATATTGTGATGCTCAATGTGCTGAAGTCTACATTTATAAACATATCACTATTTATGTGATGACAACAATTAGAGGCCACAGCTGAGAGTGAGGCCTTGCATGCATACAAATTGACTTTGTCTAGATTATGGTCTAATTAGAACACTAGGTTGGTTTCACTTTTTGTGGTGAAAAATCCATATCCTTGAGCAATGTTGTTAAGGTAACATAAGTCCCCATGTAGACAGTGCAAGGTTGACAGAAGAATTGTTCCATCAGCTTAGCCACAGGGGCTGATTACCTCTGGGCCCCAAGTGTGCACAACCCACACTCTGCCCTGGCACTGCCCACCCTCTTCTTTCTTCCTCCAAACTCTCACCCTGCCCTGCCTGTTCCAGCCCTACACTCACCCCTTTGCACTCATTTCCACCCCCTCCTCCAAGCATGCTCTATCTCCTCTCCTTTCCACACCTCGCCCCCAGTGCCTCCTTACACCCAAACCAATGGATAGCATCAGGAAGCAGGCTCTGGGACTCCATGGGGAGTAGCTGATCAGTGGGGCCATTCCAAGGCAGGAGGTGCTGATTGGGGAAAGCGGAGCAGGCTGCTGGTGATAAGTACCCACTAATTTTTTTCTGTGCATGCTCCAGCTTTGTAGCATCCATGGAGTAAGCACCTACAATCCACTACCTATGTCAATGGAACAATCTCCTGTCAGCAGAGGTAGTGTTTACACTGAAGTGCTGTCAGAGTGCAGCATTTCAAGTGTAAACAAGCCCTAAGAGACAGATCCTGCAATTGGGTACACATGGGATCCACCTAAGTTACACTCCTTCTAGGGCAATTGCACAATCCAGAGAGCAGGAATCATTTCTTAAAAATACTGAAAAATGTTTTGCTAATACACAGGAAACTCTAGAGTAGATAAAGGCCAAAAGATTTGGGTGCCCAGTTGCTGCTGGTGTCCTGTACA